ATATATATATAACAAATCATTTATTAGAATGTGATACCTATGTGGACAAGGAATTGACTGTCCAATTTCTTTAGCATTGTCTAAAATGGTTTCTAGAAAATAATGCTAACAATATTTCCTGACCGAATATAATTATACCAATTTAGTCTGTATATAGAAGCTATATTGTTTTCCATTGACATTACTATGGGATATTAAAATAATTAGCATAGGATAGTTATTGGTACAAGAAATAATTTTCAAAATTTGTCTAGAAATTTGTTGAAATCAGGAAGAAATTTTCAAAATTTATGATCATTTCAAAATTTAGCTCATTATGATTATATTGACATTTTAGATACCTTTTAAAGAAACATTTTCTAACATATTCCACTGAAAATTTCTTTAATATTTTAAAATTTAAATATTTCTCCTACTTACAATGCATTACTCCCTTGTTTTATAGTTAAATTTATGAACTAACATTAATCATCAAGTAGTTCATGTAGTGTATCCTGGAAAAGTGTTCTGATACATAAATACACATGTACCACACATTCATACTGACCCTGTCAAACAAAGTACTTACTATTGCTATCTCCTACTTGTAACCAGAAAATTTCTATGTATATTTTGTCTTTTCATTTTAAATATTTACATCATTGATAAATTAAGTAAATATATCAAGTGCAGATACTCTCACATAGAGCAGCATCTATTTCGAAAAATGACATGAAAACATTTATGAAAATGACAGTTAAATTTCTTTAAGAGGTCACTTCAGGAATGGGGATGTAGCTCAGTGGCTCTGCTGCCTCCCTCACAAACACAAGGTTCTGAGTTTGATCCCTGGTGCAAAAAGAAAAAAAAGAAAAGAAAAGAAAAGAAAAGAAAAAAGTTTATTTGTTCTTATTGATAAAATACCTTGAGTGGCTGGGGATTTAGCTCAGCGGTTCAGTGGCCTGCCTTGCAAGCGCAAGGAACTGAGTTCAAGCCCCAGTACCAAAACAAAAACAAAAACAAATAAGCAAACAAACAAAACCTTGAGTGGGGTTGATATCATGCAATTGACATTATGCTATTCATAAAAAAACAAGTCATTTGAAGACCACAGTAGAAAATCTCATATGTATAGTCATGAAGTATGAGAAATATGAAATTACTGTGCATTAGGATTGTTTCATACTTTAGAGTACAATATGGGAATAAATATCTTGTACAGTGCACAGAGCTACTCAGAGGCTCCAAGGTTGATTAGAAGTTTGTGTATATAGTTTGCAGCATTATTAGATAGCAAATATAAATAAAGCAAAGAAAACAATTAGATAAATGAGGGAAAATAATATGTCTTTTTATTTATTTGAATATATCTACCTATTTAACTAGCTAGATATCAAAGTTGTTGGGCTTGGGATTTAGCTCAGTTGCAGCACTGCCTGCCTCGCAAGCACAGAGTTCTGAGTTTGGTCCCTGGTATCAAAAAAATAAAAAAAATAAGAAAGAAAAGATATCAAAGTTGTTATTTCTTGGACAAAGAAACACTGGCATTTCAATCATAAGTGAGTATTTTTGTAATTCCTAGATAATTTTCTGTCTTTTATACCTAGAGAGCTCTGTAGAGAGCTGTCTGACCCATCTGAAATGGCAAAGGAGGGGCAGGAATGGAAGAACATTTCCTAGCCTTTGAGGAGGCAGGGGTTAATGCTTCTGCATGAGTGCCACTACAGAAATTTTGCACACACAGTGGAAGCTGAAAGCTTCAATCAGCCATGCAAAGACTGTCACGTACGTCATCCAACAACAAAGATCTCAAGTCCTTCAGATGTGTCTGGAGAATTTACATATTGTAGATTACTCTCGACATATCCCATGCCTGCATGTATTCTAGGAAAGAGGTCAGGCATTGGTGGCAGTCATCACAGAGGACTCTGGCCATGAGAGTATAATGGCTCCAAGATGTTCACAATAGCACTCATTTTTCAATCTTCTGGTGCCCACCTGGGGAACAGAAGTAGCCAAGAGAGTAAGAGAGGACAGGACACAGATTTGCCCCTTAATATGCAGTGGAGGTTTTCTAGTAAATGGAAGACACACTTTTGACTCAATATTTGAAAGTGTATAGAAGCTGTGGAAACTGTCTGATAGTTGACCAGAGGATGTCAGAACGATCAATGAATATCTCCAGAGTTGAGTGAAAGGAAAATTTTCATGCTGATTCCTTTCAGTTAAAAACTAATTAAAAAATCAATGCAGAAACATATCAAATTAGTTTGTATTCCATATAGTTCTAATAATATAAAATTGCATTTTAAAATAATCCATACCTAAATAAACAAAAGTAAATCATATGTAGTATTGTTAGAACATTTGCAAGATTATAAAAGTAGTTTATACATCTTTGAGAAGCTGTATTTATTCACTTTAATATTTAAAATATGATACACATCATTGATTTATAAGTGATTTATCTTAGCTATAACTAAAACTGGACACAGTGATTGGAATATTTTCATGATTACATAGAGATAAAAATCAATAGACTATTTTGCCTATAAAAGGAAGCATAGATGATGTATATTATCCATATATAATGATGTTAAGCATTTTCACAATCTTACCTCATTTGTTAGTGACAATAAGTGGTCTATGAATTTCAAATTTTTATTACTTTTCCATTTGCTAACAATTTTGGTGTGGATACTTGCATAAGTAATTTAAAATCTTTTCTTATGATACTTTCCCTGTATAAGGGACATATTACTAATACATAAGACATAATATTGTCTAAAAATGACTGAAATTTCAATATATAAATAATATATTGTGCTAGAGTAAACATTCAACACTTTTTATTACTAAAATAATGATAATCATCATATTACTAACTTTAACTTTAGAAAAGTTTATAAACCTACTTAGCTCAAATACTAGACTTAATATGAGTAAGAAAATAGGTGAATCTGAGGCAGCAATTAACTAAATGTCACTTACTGCTTTCTTACTTTGACCCTCCAAGAGTAATTTTCTGTTATTACCAAAAGAAGAAATTGGTTGTTCAAGTTATATATGGAAGATTCTGATTGAAAATCATTCCTCTGTGGAATTTATTTGGGGGGAAAAAGCTGTAAGTAGCAACCAATTTTTCATGGCAACTTTTTGTCGATATACGCAAACAAAATCTGACAGAGTACAGTTGATTTTGCTCACTTTGCAACAAAAGGGGAGAAAAATTATTACTACATTATATTAGAACTACATGAAATAAGAGAAAAAATAAGCCTAATAATCCAACAGAAGTTTGCCAATCATTTTAATATCTAATAATTGTAGTTTTAATTTATATTAAGATATAGAATTCAAATTACAAAACAGATTATTCATGTTATCTCTGATTACACAAATTTAAAAAAATGCATCTTTAATTTCCCAGTACTTTCCTTTGTCTTTCTTTTAAAAATAACTTACTGGTATATTGCCATACAGTCTATAATGAGTAAGGTTTTGTTATTTTGCTATCTTGTATCAGAGCAAAGCTTAGGGATCAGGCAGTTCTAGGCATATGTCCAGCTCATACTGACACCTCAGCTCGCAGAAACTTCTTTCTCATCCCAGATGACCTCCATGTTATTGTGAAA